GTTTAAAAAAAAAAAAAAAGAAAAAACAAAAAAAAAAGAAACAAAAAGGAAAGATTTATCGTTTTATCGTTCCTTTTAACTTTCCTCTTTTTTTTTTTCCCCCTTCCATTTTATTCTTTTCTTGTTCAATCGGTTAACCGCGATAATATAACGTTATTACGATTTCAAAAAATACTCGTGAAAAAAATCAATAAAAATAATATTTAAAATGGTAATTGCGTTATATTGTTGAAACAGGGTAACTTTGACAACGATACGAAGTAGATTTATTAAATTATTTCAAAGTAAATGATCGAAAGACGATGGCGATGATTGATTCATGCGAACCGATGAACTCGAATAAACATATATATATATTTATATATTTTTTATTCATATGTATATGTTTATTAAACAAATACGAATAAATCGGTGACTACGCATGTGTAGTAATTTTTATTTTTAGTATTATTTTTATTATTCACCTCTTCTTCTTCTTCTTCTTCTTCTTTTTCTTCTTCTTCTTCTTCTTCTTCTTTTTCTTCTTCTTCTTCTTCTTCTTCTTCTTCTTCTTCTTCTTCTTCTTCTTCTTCTACATTTTCTTGTTTTTTTTATCTTTCGATTATCTCATCTTTTCCTACGTATGTGTGTCTTCCTTATACATATACATATATATATATTTTATTATTTTATATAAGTGTCTTTTATTATTTTATTTTCCACATTAAAACAAATCTTTGGCGTACTCGACAACAACAAAATTCGAAATAGAGCAATTAATCACGAATAAATAATAATAATATTAATAATAATTATTATAATTAAACAATAATAATAATAATAATAATAATAATGATAAAGATATTTGCGATAAAAAACAAAAAAAAAGAAGAAGAGAATATTAATCAAGAAGATTTTTGTATATCATTTCGTGATATTTTATCATCCACCGAGGTTCGAATGTGCGGGAGATCACATTGATGAAAATTTGTTTAAATAAAAATCGAACAAACAATAATATTGCTTTCTTTTGAAGGTTTGTACGCATGAAGAAAATGTTGGGTGTTTACCTTCTACAACCTGATAAATATATATAATACGCCTTTTAATAAATATAATTTATCGTATAATTAATAATCGAGTATATTACAATGGGAGTTGAACAAAATACAATAATCCCTTCATTTGTTTAAATTCATTTAAATGCATTTGAATTAACAAAACCCAAATGTTTTTATTATGGGTTAATTAAAAAATAAAATCCAAACTTAGGGATTCCTCAATTAATATTTATTTCAAAATTGTTTTAATTTATATCTAATTGTGATGTTAAATTAATGTAAATTCACTTTTAACGCGTTGCTGTGGCTCACAATCAGTCCGATACACACGTTTTTAAGTCAACGAATTACCTTATACCGCCATCTGTTAGAATTTTATCGAACTAACAGAGATAATCATGACTCTTCGTTAATAAACAAATAATTCGCGATTAATAAAATAATATTGCGATTATAAATTGAGATATAAACTATCCTATCTTTCAAGTTGGATGAAACTGTACACAGTGTGCAAAATTTAATTAAAATCGGTTCAGTAGTTTAGGAGTCCATTGCAAACAAACAACGTGACACGTAATTTATATATATTAAGATTGTATAAGAAATTGCAATATCTTTGACAAGTCATTCGTACTTTATAAAAACTCACGTTATACTAGACTTTATTATACTATAAAAAATGACATTTATTTGAAATCAAGTATGATGACATATTATTATAAGTACGTATTTGGGATTGGTAAAGGATAAAGTATGGAAGCCCAAGAACGTAAATCAAAGTTGTGAATATCTTGCCAGTGAATATTATACACATATGCAACATTTTCCATCCAATATTCTCCGAGATTACCGATGGTCATTGCCTTGAAAACAAAATTAACAACAAATTTCGAATAAAATCAAAATCCACATTTTTGATTATAACAATTTGATATAATTTTGATTAATAATTATTCATATATATTACCCGTTTATTTTGTAAGATCCATGCAGCCATGCATTTGTTGTCTTGCAAACGTGACCATTTTTCTGCTTTATGCAAATTATAATTTCTCTTTGATTTTCTACCATGAATCGTATTCATATGAGATTTTAAAAAATAAAGTAACGGTTTTATGAACGGAGCACGTTTTGAAACTCGATTTAATGTTTTTATGATTTTCTGCACGGCGTTAAGTATTTCGATCAATTGATTAGCTTTTTTTAAATTAATACAACGAATTAATACTAGAAGAAAACATTCCAAACCCTAAAACGATAGATTAGAATAATTCAAAATTTATTGTTTAGATTAGGTGATATTTATGCGATGGAATTACTTGGCCGCAAGTAATTATTGTTGAAAATATATCGTGTTGGACTCTCTTCGTATAAATATCTACGGTTAATTCGAAACTTTCGTCAATTCTGTATCCCCTAAAAAAAAAACAAGAAGACAAAAATTAATTCAAGTAAGAAAATAATTATTAACATTTGTATTAATAACTTACATTCGCAATTGCCAAATCCATAAACCGCTTAAAAGTCGAGTAAGACATTCTGGATCACGAGAAACGCAACCTTTAGTTTTGCAATCTACATTTCATGATAAATATATTTTTTTATTTGTTTTTTTTTTTTTATTTAATAATCTAATGTATATTTCATTGATATAAATTAAACGATTGATATTATTAAAAGAAGATAAACGTACTGGCGAGTGTTTTCGCATGGCGTAGGCAAGATTCATAAGATTCCAAAAATATTCCAGCTTGTAAAAGGAATTCTAAGCTGAGAGCATAATACCAGGTAATAGCTGAACTATCTATGTCCTCGTCTGATAAATAATATAACTCGTTTATTAAATCAATTGCTTCACTAATATGTTTTGTCCACATCTGTTTAGAAAAGATTTGAAATAATTCAAGAACAAATTATTTTAGAGGATATAAAATAAAATGTTAACAAGTCTAAACGATTAATTCACAGATAAAACTATCATTGCAGTTTTACCACAATACGTTATAAATAAAATTAATAATATTAGTATTAATTTAATTATTTTATAATTAATTTATTA